CACACATCCAACAAGTATTAAGAAGTAATCATAAGGAATGTCAGAATTTATATTTTCATTATCACCTTAGACAAATGTATTCTGATTGTTCGTATTCATAAAATAGACTATAAACAACTCAAACAGTTGAAGTCAAAGAATAATTTTTTGAAAAAAAATTATTTAGGATCTTGGGGGTTACCTGTGACATTATTGTGGCTCAGCCATTATCATATATTAGAAATCCCACTCTAGTAGGAAAAATGGTTCTGCAATTTGCTATTTTTTATAAATACTTACATGCTAAAGGTGCTATGTTTTATAAATACTTACATGCTAAACTACAGTAGTTATAGTAATGTAGAAAGATGAAATGATACTGTAAAAGCAAATGCCAGTTTACTTATTTAGGGTTAATGGCTTCGAGATACTTAGAGTACATAGTAAAACAAAACTGTAATCTTACCCCCTTTTTAGTCCAAATTCATAGGTGCAACAAAAGTGACCGCTATAAATACTTCTTGGAACCAAAAGAAATAAATGGATGCTATTCTTCGAGCTAAACAGGGTTGCTGCTTTCAGTTTTTTAAAACAAGCATCTTTCCAGGGTACAATACAATTTTAATGCAAGGCTACAACTATTTCTGTCAAATGCTACATTTGCAGAACTGTTACAGCTTGCTTTGCAAAAAGTGTTGAGAGGAACAAGCCATGCTTTGCTATGGCTTTCCAATCAGTCATTTCTCTTCAGCTATAGGTGATTCAATGTATCCACTTGCAGGTTCTTCCTGCTTCTGCAAAGTTGTGTAAGGCCCACAAAGGCAGCTTCTTTAAGTACATACCTGAGACTTCACAACGTAACATGCAGTTCAGTCTGCTTTAGCACAATACCGGTATTACCAAATCTTTATTACTGCTGCAAGAGTGGCGCAGCCCATCTCCTTCCTGTCTACTCATCCAGGTCTGTCGTGGATTTGTTACTGAAAATTATATTGAACATGAAGTTTAGTTTAAATGTGATGTACAACTTGTGCTAGCATCAGCCTTTTCTGCTCTCCTATCTATGAAACAGAAAACAAGTGTTCCCAGCCTGGGTCACAGAAGTGGTGTATTTTATTTTTGCCCATCTTTTGTTGGCAGGTACAAACAAGGCTTCAGACATTCATTTCTAGCCTGCAACAGAAAACAAGTGAGATTGAGATTTTAGCAGTAAGTATTTTGGCAAAAGCTTTCATCTCAGATTTGTAATTGAATTGGATGATGCAGTTGTTACCTGTAACACGTTACTACCAATAGCCTCACTTTCCTGCTAGATTTGCTCTTACATTTAAACCAACACAGCATTTGCACGTGGCTTTTAGACTGCTGACCACGTCACAGAGGACTCTAAATAGCATACCCTTTTCAAGAAATATTTCCTATTTGCCTGTGCCTATTTTGAACTTTCCATAATGCAATCTGTCATGAACAGTTTGTTTAAAATGCTTAAAACCTTAGCATATTCCCAGTGCTGTCAGCATGAATGCTTCCTTGGAATTCAAAAAGTGATTCCCTTTAGTATAACTAATCTACAGTTAGCAAACCCGTGATAGAACTGTTAAATATTTGATTTCTTAATGTTTTTGCAGGTAGATCTGCCGAAAGAAACTGTGATACACTTTTTATTATTAGAGGTAAGCAATTAAGTATTATAGTGTAATTGAACAATAGATAATAAGTTTTGTTCCTAATGAAAATGAATGTACAATTTACCCATTGAGGTGTTCAAACTTGAAAGGACTTTTTACTCAAATTGCTTGAATGAAGCTAGAAAAATCTTCTTGTCAAATTCCCTAGTTACAGAAGACACCAATAGGAGGTCCTAATCCAAAACTGGATTTTTCCCAGAAGTTACCTGAAATTAAGTCTCACTGTGCATTTTTCAAAACCAGTAAGCGTTAATGGGTGGTTTCAGGAAGTATTTCCTGAAGCTGTTAATGAAGGAGTCCCCCAAAGTAGAGGCAATTGGTTTGAGTACAGTAGATGAAGAATCTGTTCCTAGTGAAGATTAAATAAATGGAGGACACATGAGTATTATATTGACCCCTTTAAAAATTCAGAAGCTACATGATTGTTGTTTTTTTTGTTTGTTTGTTTGTTTTTTCCTGAAGACAAAGCTCTTTACCTCCCCCAAAGAGAGCAGTTGTTTTGAAGTCAGAAATTCCTATCAGAGGTGGAAATCTCTCACTGCCCACCCCCCTTCCCCCCCCCCCCCCCCAAAAAAAAAAAATACAATTTTCATCCTGCCTGGAAATGGATTTAGATTTAATACTTACTTTCATGCCCTATATTTGTTGTTCTGAAGCAGTATTTGTCTAAACCTCAGTGAAACATCAAAAATTTTCAAAATACTTAGTCTAGTCTACCCAAACCTCAGAGAGCATTCATCACCTCTTAGTTCAGAAAAGGGAGCAGGCATACAATCAGCTTCCATCATTTACTTTTCACTGCCCTTATGGTAAAGTTCTCATCTTTCACCCAGCATCACTAAACTGTCTTAAGAAACTGATCACTAACAAGTCTCATTCTTAATACCTTTTCATAAGTCAAGTTGCACTTATTAACATGAATTACATTTAAAACCTTTTAATACCCTGTTTAATTAAGGGATGTTGATGTTAGGCAGTGTTCAGAAGACTGAATCCTACCAGTAGAATATTTCCTTCACTAAAGAATGTAGTGCTGTTTTACAGTTCCTTGTCCATTTTTTTTTCCAGTTTGATGGAGACAGGCAAGCCTTTGATGCTACTGTGAGACAACTGATGTCACGATGGCCAAAACAAAGATGTTCATATTTGCAAGCAATTTGTGATGAAATTTACAGCATCAAAATGGAAAAGAGGTAAAGTTCTTATAGGTACATAACACATCTCATTGTTTCCTGAAACTGAAATTCATTTAACCAACAGCTCTTAATTTGTCCTCCCTTCTCCCTGAAGGAAAAAAAAAAAAAAGTATTTGGGAAGTACATATATATTTCTTTGAGTACTATTTCTGCAAACATGAAACAAAATGGAAAGTTAACATTATCTAATCCTCACTTGTGATAATCTGAACTCTGCATTTTGTAAACCTTTTCAAGAAATTCTAAAATATACTCCCACTGTTTTCATTTACTGCTTTGTTCAAACAACTAAATAGTAAATAATTATACATCCAAATACGCTACTATTATATAACCCTCTTTTCTCATGGGAGGGACTCTTAAAATTGAGTGCTTTTTAGTTCCTCCTGTTCTGAAGGAATGTGATGGCCATCCAGCAAACCTGAGAGACTGCCCAGCTTCAAGCAAACACAGTGCATGTTCTCTCACATTTACAGTAAAGCCCACTTCTGTTTTCTAAGCGTAAAAAAATTTATGTTCAACTCAGTCTCCTTGTTGGATCTGGCAAGGCTGAAACAGTGTATTCCAGGCATGTTGTTTTAAGCCCTAAACTTTCAATTTTTGCACGTACTGACACAGTTAAGTAGGATTTGGATATTCATTCCCCAATGAGCGTTTCATTTATAATACATTTTCTTAAATGTTCAATTTGAACATATTACGTAACATATAAGTAAGACTAAAAATGGGCTTTAATTCCTTTTTCTTAGAGATGCACCAAAATTGCTTTATCTGCCAATGTTTACTAAGGCAACTAAATACTAAACACAGCACTTTCTTTCCTATGACTTCCAAACCTGTGAGCAACAGAACCCAATTACTACAATTATTACAATTACTACAATTACTATATTACTTCATACAGTGTTGGGTGTCTGTCTTTCTTTCCCATTTTATGGCTAAGCAATGTTTTGTGTGCAGGCATAAGCCTTCAAAAAATTAAATTACTAGCTAAAGAGAAAGGGAACTAAGGGGAAAACTGTAGTGACAGCGCAAATGAATTAAAGCTACTGCTTTTCTACTGAACCTTTGCTGTTAGCTGAGTGTCATGATTTCTCATATGATTTATAGATTTTTAATCCGTAGCTTCAAAGTTTTAAAAACTAATTTTTTTTCCCTTTGCAGGGTTCCTGCTCTCATCCTGTACAGTTACCGAGATGAATATAAGGTTTTGTTTTAGTGCTTTAAGCATTTAAGCATCTTTTCTGGGATGCTTTTACTAATAGACAATAGTGTTTCGCACAAAGGAATTTCATAATGTTGTCTTAAAGCAAGACAGGCAGCCTTTTTAAGTGTCCAGATTGAATTTCATGTGTAATATAAAACTGTAAATTTATTCCAAAAAGTGAAATATTTTATAGGTAATTAAGGAACAGTCTGACTACAGCTAGAGATGTGTTACTGTGTAAATTCTTGCACCATTATGTTGCGAGAGAGATTATTAGCTGTGCCAGGTATAATTGACTTTTTTTTTTTAAGAATGCCTTGTATGTCCATATGCAATAGTGCTGAAATAAGCATCTCAGTTCAAGGATTAGAGATGTATTATCTTCACCTCTGAAACACTTTTAAACTTTTTTGAGGAAGGGCTTTGTGTAATAAAAGATTTGGCTACTAAGCCTTTTGAAGTACATATTACAAGGTTTTGTGATTTTTCTTTTTTGAAGAAAATTCTGCCTTAATCTTAAATCTCAATATAAAAGGTAGTAAAAGACATCAAGCTGAGAGTTGTGCAAACCTGGTTGCCTGTGTTTGTCCCATCCCCTCACTCCTGCATTCAAATCAAACAGCTGCTTCCTGAGAGACAAAAATAAAACCTGATGCAGGACACAAACTTGTTTCAGACCAAAAGGCCCTCAAGGTAAGACTTGAGAAAGAGTAACCTGCATGTGCTTAGAGGTATAACTGAAGTTTTGATCTAGCTTTCTTCACATGGATTGTCAGATTAAGTTTGCATTTGAAGACACGTAAGTAATGAAAGGAAGGTAAAAATTACGTTCTTGAAGCTACAGCTTCCCAGTCAATGCTTTTTAGAATTACCACTGTATTTAAAATTAAGTTGTAACACATTAGGAAAAAAGCTAAACAAATGTAAATATCAATTACAGCAGCCTTTGTTGCTGTAAATAATTATATTTCATACCAAATTAACAAATATGAAAAAAATTGTGTATTTCTGCACATAGACTGGTCTTCACCCTTTCTCCCCAACCAGTACCTTGTTCACGCTTCTTTTTCTTATCACAAAAGGTTGTCTTCAGTACTGCAGGCTCACTGCATTAAGAAAGACCTACTTCTTCTGCAGCCTTTTCCTTTTAGTGAAAAGGAAGGCAAAGGTAAAATATGCAAAGAGTTAACTTTGAAAACAACCCCAAACATCTGAGAACTGCCAACACTGCCATAGCAATGCATAGAAGTAACGCTGGGGGAGGGTCAGTCCTAACAGCACAGACAACTATCATGACCAAGACACATCACAGCAGTCATTACAACCAAATCCATTTCTCATTGTGTTTAATAGGAACAAGTAAGTATTCACCTTTTACATCTGCTCATATGAAGGAGCTACTTTAAGATGCGAGGATGGGGAAATCCAGATCCCTGAATACGTTGAAGGATGAAGTTTTAAAAAACAAACATTCAGGTGACATGAGCATTCTTAAGCTATGCCTGAAGGGACCGTGATGCAGAGTCCTGCACTGCCCCACCCTGAGCCAGGATCAGCACAGCTGGATGGGCACAGGATAAGGCAGAGCTGATGAGCTGAGAGCTCAAGCATGGGACTGGCTGCCTTCAAGGCATCTGCACTGCATCGGATAAACATGGCCCTCAAAATAAGACAGAAACAGGAAAGCTGCTGTTCCTGGATAATAGGTTGGCACCCACTTTCCCTAGTACTACCAAGACTTATCTTTGAAACTGGGCATCTGTCACAGAGACTCCTGTTCCAATCTCACTTTGCTCATGGTGCTGTGCACTTCTCTTTACCCTCTGTTATCCCCCAGATGGGTTTTACACCACCCACTTGCATAATACAAAACAAACAGCAGTATAAGTACAAAACTAGTTGGCAGACGAGTGTAAAGCTATTTTGGTATAACCCTGTAAATACTCCTGCCATACAACAATCCACAGAAAGCATCTCCTGCTTTCAGTTTAAACAAAAGTACTGATCACATCCCAGTATCCTGCTGGAAGGAAAACCAAAGACAAGTGGTAACTCAAAAAGAAATGGACTTTGCTTTGAGCAAGGGTCAAGTCTGTTGCAGTGATGGTCGGACACTTCTATCACTGTGTTGCTTTACTCTTCTTGTTTTTGCTTTTCTTGTCCTTTTTCTTCAAGCCATCCATGTTAGCTCTCAGCAAATTAGAATATGCCTGAAACAAAAATTAGAACTGTTAACAGAGCAAACACTTAAGTACCAATGTAGAGGCAACACTTCACCCATTGTTTGTGGATATCTATCTTCATTTTTTTGGCTCTCAGTTACTGGCCCTGAGCAGCCTGATCTCGTGGGTGGCATACCTGCCCACGGCAGGGGGTTGGAACTGGATGATCTTTAAAGTCCCTTCCAACCCGAGCCATTCTCCACATGCCTTCACGCTACTGCACTGGGAAACTATTGTTTCTAAGTCAATGCAGAAAGTTAGGTATGATAGAGTGCACACATTTGTGGAAAACAAAATCCAGTTCTAAAGTTAATCCGTGTCAGTTCAGCACTGATTCAGCTCAGTCACACCAATCCCCTGCGTCCTACTGACTACTCCCCAATAGGTACAGAAAAGGAAGATAAGGCACACAAAACTTACCATCTGGAATTTATTTACTTCCTTTGAGCTCACCTACAAAAGTAATACGAGATGTTAACCACAAACACAACAGCTTCAAAATTACAAACTAAAACATTAGTACTTGTTTTCCCACCAGGGACTATCTAATGTCTTTAGTAGCAGCTGGATCAGCCCATGACAGTCAGCAGTACCCAGGCTGTACTGACACGGCATAACACCTCACTGACTCAGAAAAGTGAGAAGACTCCACATTAGATTAAGCAAATCTGAAAGCTGTTCTCCCCAAATCTGTGTTTTCAAATGGGAAGGAGGTGAAGAAACATTCTATGGAAGGTTTTATTTCACTGTAGGGCCAGAACTTAATTGACGTCAGAATGCAAATCCTGGTATGAAACACTACAGCCCCGATCCTCCCCACTATTTCTCAAAGCAACATTTTTCCTTGGATTACTTCACTAAGAAGATCTGAAGTCAGCTAAAGCCTCTCTCAATCTCACATTCAAAGGAAACCCATCAGGCTCTCAACTTTTAAGGTTAACACCTCCTGAAATATAAACAGCTCTGTAAATAAGAAAGAAAACTGGGTGTGCTAAGTGAGTCTACCCCATGCCTGTCTATTACTGGCAAGAAACACAAATCCCTTTCCTATTGCTTCAAAGTCAGGGAACATTCTGTTGTTTGACGGGGTGCAATAACCTTCAGTAATTCCACTTCAGTAATTCCAAAAGCCGCCTCTGTCAGCCAAAGTTGACTGTGGGACCTTTCTTCTCCTTAGAGACACACCATTTGTCCTCACACTGCAGGTTCTGTCACTGTCCTCTTTCCTTCTGCCCACATTACCCTTGTCTCCAAAAGGAGCTTCCCCCTTCCCTCCCTCCAGTTCCACCTGACTGAGAACACAACAGCCACGGTTTCTGAAAACAGGCAGGGAACCTTCCTGCTTGTCTGGCAACACCATTTTGAAGCCAAATGCTGTGTACAAAAACAAAACCAAACAACTGTCCCATCTGCAACACGAACTGCAACTGCAACACTTTGGCATCCCGATTTCAGTTGTGCTTTTAGCTACCATACGGTTTCTCTGTAGAACTAAGGGGGCAATTCTCATGAAATCGATGCAACGACAAGCTTCACTTAAAACACGAGGTATTACATGAAAGCCAGGTAGGGCTGCTCATCATTCTAGCCCCAAGTTGTCACTTACCACTGTGCTGATTTTCTTCTTTCCATCCGTTGCTCTGAGAAGACACTTATTGTCTGCGGGTTCAAAGCTTTCTACGTGGCCTTTGCGCGGGACTGGTTTTGTTCGACCATCATCTGCATTGAAATACAGAGAATGTTTATTTGTATTTGGCTAGAAATTGTGGGATGCCTCCTGACTTGAGACATTAAAAATTGCTCACGAGGAAATCTGTAAAAATATCTGAAAATTTATGGCCATCTGAACTGAATTACTGTGAAACTGTTCACAGATCCCTTCATCTGTAATCCCATAAACTAGGGCTGCCTGGGCTACCTGACTAACCCAGCACAAACACACAAACCTGTACGCAGACACGCTGCGTGAACCGCATGTTTCAAATGCACTTCAACCTACAGCACTCAGCACAGAGCCATAGAAAAGCCCAGGCCGTGAGGAACCTCAGAGACCGCCTGGTTCAGCTCATCATGGGAGAAGCGGGGCCTAGGCAGGATTCCCTTAGCACCCCGTGTGGCTGAACCCTGTAAGCCTCAAAATGCTGGGGGGATCCACCACATCCCTGGGACACGGCAGCACCACCACAGCTCCCCACTGCAGCAGCCCGTGGATTTTCAGTTACCTCTTAGTAACCAGAACGCCTCCCTGCTCTGCGTGGTGCAGAGCAGCGCCTGCCTTTACGGCTCCCAGCCCCGCAGCAGAGGGGCCGTGTCGTGTCCCCCCCCCGCATTGAGCCCTTGGCGCCCGTCTCTGCCCCCCCCCCCACTCACACTTCTTCAGCGTGATGAAGACGCTCCCGGACGTGCGGCACTTCTGGAACAGCCGGGTCAGCTCGGTCAGGAACTGCAAGAGAAGGCGGCACAGCGGGGCCTCGCCTGGGGGCCCACACCGCGATAACGGCCCCCGGCCCGGGCCCGGCCCCCCCCCAGCGCCCCGACGCGGCCCCCTCTCCCCCCCCCCCGGCACCTGCTCGCTCTCCAGCAGCACCATCGCGCCCACCAGCTCCGCGCTCCGCCGCCGGCCCGGAAACGCCGCGCGCACGCACGCACGCACAGCACGCACAGCACGCACGCCCGGCCCCTGCGCACGCGCGGCGCCTCGAGGCTCCGCCCCCGCCCCGCCGCCGGGCAGCGCCACGTCAGCCCCGGGAGGGGGGGGCGGGGCCGGCCGGGGGCGGCCGTTAGTGGCCGTTAGTGGCCGTTAGGGCCGGGGGGGGCGGTGAGGAGCTGTGAGGGGCCGCAGGGGAGGCGGCGCAGCCCGGCTCGGCCCGGCCGCTCCCCGCGGCGTCCCCGCTGCCCCCGCGGCCGCTCGCTGCCCCCGCTTGGCAGCAGGGGGAGCTGTGGGCGCGCGCAGCGGGCGCCGGGCAGCGCTCAGCGGGTCCCGGCCACCGCCTCAGCAGGGCTGGCCCGGCCCCAGCGCCGCCCGCCCGCACCGCGCGTTTGTCCTTGTGTCTGTAGGGTTGCGTTGTATCAGACCCGAGCGAGGACAATGCGGGGGTGCTGCGGGTTTTTATGGGCAACTTGTGAAAGTAAAACAGAAATGGAAAAACTCAGCGCTTGCAACGTTCTCCCTTGGAAACTACCATGGGCACAGAAACTGGGAGCCCAAAGCCGTGCATTGCCAGTCATGGTCGCCAAAAGAGCAGATGGGTGGTCGTGTAGCTGAAGCATGGGCGCAAGAGCTCTCAACCAAATTCTGACCCTCAAATCCACCAGAGGATTCTTGCGTGGCCCCAAACCATTCTCCCCACTCTTCTGTAGGACAGCTCCTCTCTCCTAAAGATGAGAGAAGATAGAGAGTTTTTCTCCACACTTCATGCAATGAAACCCATTAACTCTTGTAGGATGAGCACCACGGAGTCTTTCTTCTACACAAAAATCTCAACCCGCTATTGGGAGCTCCTGCTGCTGCTGAGGTGTGCCTTTGGCACTGCAGACACAGTCCTGGCCAATCCAAGCCAGCGATCAAGGTAGCAGTAGCAGTGTAGCTACAGCATCTGGGACAGGGGCATTGGGCAGCTGCCTCCTGAGGTAGATTCCTTGAAGGAATCGGTGATACCAGGATTTCTGATAGCACTGTATGCTGGGAGAAACCACTGTGAGAACCTTTCTCTGAATACAGACAGACACTCCTAATTCAGGAAGGACAGTAAGTATTTCAGAGCAGACGAGCAAGAAAAACAAACCACAAGTGAGGAGACCACAGGTTCCAGACAAAGGGAATACAGAGAAGCAGGGGACAACTGTTCAAAATCTGTTGGAGATAGCATGTGTGTCTCCAGTGTGTGACAAATGACTTACTGTAGGTATCTAAAACATGAGAAGTTTTTAGAAATGTACGGTTTTGGAGAGCCTTTGTTTCACAATAGGTTATATACCAAGGTATGCAAACAGAGAGAGAGAGAGAAACTTCTACCAGAAGCTCTGACTGTTCGATTCCTCTTGACGTTGCTTGGTGTCAGTAAAACACAGATTACACAGCGAGGAGCCCTACCATCTCCTGTTGCACTCACAGATGTTCGCATACTGTAACTGTCAGTACTGTGCAATGCCACAGCTTCCAGCTTACAATTTCAATTTCTGCCTCTTCACAAGGTAGTGCTGGGATTGCTTTTGTACAAACTGAAAGGTTTTCCCTGTTAATAGAGGATTTTACTGTTATGATATAGAACTCTAGAGTTGTGTAAAGTTAACATTTTTAAAATCTACGTTTCATCAGCTTTTTTTTTTTTTTTTTTTTTTTTTTTTTTTCTGAAAAGATTTGGGTCTCACTGCTAATAAAAGAAGCAGCTCCACTGACTTGCTGAATTTCTTTCCATAAGTGCAGCAGAGGATTTTTGTTGTTACTGTTAGCTTATCTTCCCGATCGTGGAGCTGTTTTTCAAGCCAGAATGTCACAATTTAATTAGGGGAGAAGCCTTCATCGCAACTTGCAAACAAGGTGAAAATGTAATATTTTTAACAATTCTTTTCCAAAAAATAGATGGAACAGGGAAATGCTGACATTGCTTTAACTTTGCCAAAGGCTGCCAACACTCGGAGGCAATAAGCTACTCAGCTGGTGAAAAAGTGCTGAACAAACACAGAAGGAGCTAAAGGGATACTCCCAATCATGATACACTTGCTTTTCACTTTATCTCCTGCCCCAGCGCAATACCTTTCCCCTCACCCTCTACCCCCAGCAAAAAATAAAAAATAAATAAAAGGAAAAAGACAAGACAGGTTGGATTAAAACAGTAGCAGGAGGAATTGGTGGATCCTAAGAGCTGGCAGGGGCACTAGTATTTTGTAACCTGATCTGTCATGTGACCAGAGCCAGGCAATAAAAATAAGTCTCCTACCAACCCTCCTGTTTGCTCAACTTTATTATATGGTGTCAGTAGAGAACTACTTTTTTTGGCAAAAATTTAGCAAATGAAGCCACCTGAATCATTAAATCCTGAAGGAAATCTGGCAGAGAACTGGAGGAGGTTGCTGCTGTGCTTCCAAGTTTTCCTGGAAGCAGGCTTGTACTGGAGAGAAACAGAGAAGGTGAAACCTCTGCTCTGCTCAGCGTGCAGGGAGGGGCAGGAAGCAGAAAAACAGGATTATCAGAAGCAAATTAAATTCTTGATCAACTTTAGAAGAAGTTGGCAAGGATCTATTTGAACGAGCTAGAAAAGATTACTGCTCGTTCTGGGCTATCTCACACACACACACTCAGCTGCCGCACACCGCAGCGCAGAAATGTAATAACATACTGCAAATTACAGTTTGCTGACCATGCTGCTCGAGATGAGTTAATAACAGATAATGGCCCACAGCTCACAAGTGGATCATTCTGGTAACTCACTTTGATCTGTGAGTTCAGGCATACCTCGTCACAGTGTAACTATGCGCAGCAAAAAGAGGCAGTACCACAGCAAAACCCCAGGAACACCACCACCCCTTTACCACCCTATCATTAGCACTGGAAAAACAGAGATGCACACCTCAGTGCCCTCCTAGCCTCACCAGATCAGAGATCAGTGGGCATAGGGAAAGTTTTCTGGGCCCAAAATTTAACAGCAGCTGGTTGGGCAGAAAGGCAGTTAACCCTGAAACAGCTGCCAAAATATCCCCAAGTTCTGTGCCAGGGAAATAAAGAAGAAAAATTCTAACAAGAGAAGTGAACACTTTTTCCTAGTGCTAAGTAGATTTCCAACACAGCAGTCAGCAGATGACCAAGGTACAGGCAAATGTCAGCCTGTAAAGAAGTAAAGGACATGCAGAGGGACAACAATCAGAGAGCTACTGAACACTATATAAGTACACAAAGTGGTATGATTTGCCTGATCAGCCAATAATAATGAAAAGGAAATTCTGAACATAGGTTCAGAACTAAACTGGACATTTCTGAAAGATCTTTCTGAGAGCAAGATATGCCACCAGGAAGCTGCTGAGGCAACAGTGAGGTCAACTTCCAGAGAGAAGCTCTCCATAAGAGACTGAAGGTCTTCTGTCATGTCTTAGGATCTAGTGCATGTGCCCTGAGCTTTATCCTAAACACCGCTATTCATCTTCGTGAATACCTCATATTTTATTTAATATTATTTTTTATTTCCATAGAATTGTTGTCACAGATAGGCTAAGTGTAACCCTGAATCCACCAAACACTGACTTTCATTGTGTAATAGCAACGTTAGCTGTGATTTATTGATTGTGAGGGAAACCAGGAAATAGATAAGTTTCTTGAAACTCTGATGCACCACATTACTATAGTAGCAAAAACCAAAGCCTATCTGCAGTGAGACACAAAAAGATTGTTTGCTGGAAAGGGACTTCATGGATTTGAAGTACCACCCAGATTTTGGAAAGCTTCTCTGTCAGGGAAGATAAGGGATGCATATTTACTGTATTATTAAGTGCCTGGGTTGAGCTCCCCGTTTATATTCTCCATGGACAAAATTATAGTAACTTGGTGGTTATACCTTATATTATTTTGTACTCTTAAAACTAGCATGTTACCAATTCTCAAGGCTGTGAAATAAAGTTTCAGTGTGTACCTTGCTTACATTTTGGAGGGTTACTGGAATAAAACAGGGCTACTGAAATGGCAGCCTTAGGCCTGTGTTTGAACCAGGAGGAAGTTTTGCGTGGGGTTCAAACACTTCCCACACAGACACTTTGAGGTATGGACTTTCACACAAAGCTCAAAAACTTTCCGAAAATAAACCATCAAATTCATCTGTCTCGCAGTCCCACTGGCGTCAGTACAGTCATAGTGAGACACAGGAGGTCAGAATTTGGTAGCTGGTAGCGTAACTTCTGTCTTTGGAGCTGTAAACAATAAACCACAAATTTATTGGGGTTAAAACTTTGTTATTATCTTTAAATGAATTTTGCGATATGACCTTCGAGCCTGGTTTCGGTGGGTCTTTGTAAGTCATCTGTGAACTCCAGTAAGTTGTCTGCGGTGCGGAACCAGGCCTGCACAATGTGATGCACCTTCTGGGTTCTCTAGAAATTATATTTACCAAACCTCACAGCTCATCTCCCAGCAGAAAGAGGATATATAGTCATCACTTCATTTTGTATGGCAGATTTTTAAGCAGACACCGCATGTCTGGTTAAGAGCTGTGCAAAGCATCAGGGAGGTAATTAAGCTGGAGCTCAAGAGTAATGAGGTGACAGAGATTGGGTTGAGCATCATTTCTTTCACACTGATGTGTCCTACTTTCAGAAACATAGAAATGCAGTTGTGAAAAATTTCCACCAGACATTCCCAGTGAGGTTACAGGATATTTTTTTTCTATGTATGTACTTAAGAGACAGAATGAAGAATATCACACCATGTTAAAAAAAAAATAGAGAAAAGAAAAAACAGTCAATGGGAATTGTAGGTCAACAGAATGACACTAGGGAGGACAACATTGTCCTTGATACCAGCGAGCACGAGGGGATGTGTAATTACAAAAGGAGTCACAAGGTCTTTGCTCTCCTCCGTTTTCACTCTCCTCAAAAGGACAGACCTGCAAGCAGCGTTATGTTCTCTTGACACCATGGGGTGTTGCTTTCTCAGGAAGAAAAGGGTCACCTACCAACTCACCAGCACCGTTTCCTGTCTCTGCTGAGGCTGACACGAGACCTGGCTGGACTTCTGAGATTTAAGGATCACAACACAAGCTGCAGTGCCGTGAAACAATGGTTTCTTCACAGCCTGAGCGGGGATGTCTGACACAGGAGCTGCACAGCACAACAAAGAAACAATCAAGTTAGCCACCAGATGAGTGAGGTGTCAGAGATTGGCTGAGACATTACTGCTCTCATTTCCATAAGCCGTAGTTTTGGGAAAACAGAGACAGTTTTGACTGTTATCGCCAGATATTTCCAGTATGACTCCTTTCTTTTAAGAGCTGCCAAGTTTACCTGCTTATTTAAGCTTTGCTTGTATTTCTCACTCTTCCTTAGTGCTCCTCCAAACGCTCAGATACTTTCTAGGAACAGGGTGGTGTGGGGAGGCCGCTCCGGGCAGTAGCAGCTGGGCCGCACTCACTGGGTCAGGGGCTGGAGGAAGCAGTTTCCTGTTTTGCTGGTATTCAATGCCATTTAACAATAGGGGGAAAGAAAAAAACTGCAGGACCTAAGCACAGCAAAGCTGTTTTCTACATGAGCTGTCTGCCTGTTCCCCCGCTCTGCCCCAGCCTCACCCCAGCCGAGGAAAGGCGGCAGCAGGGGAAAGGAGGCTGAGGCTCCGGAGGCCAAGGGAACGAGCGCTTGAAGGCATTGCTGCCATGTTAGTGGCCTTGGCAGCCGGTCTGAATATTGCTAGTTTTTATGCCGCCTCCCGGGAGAGGGAAAATGAGGTACTTGTGCAACACTTCTGGAGCAGCGGTGTCAGCAAGAGTCACTCATGCCTTCTGACAACACCCAAACCGTATTGTCCCTCCCAGTAGATGGCTTTCAGCACCATCTTGAGATAATGATTTTCAAGAGTGGTCAGTTCATTAGAGCAGGAACTGCACTAAGAGAGATTCCTCACTTTGCCTTTCTTAATGTCTTCCTTCTCCAATGGTCTGCGTAGTGCCAAATCCCTACTCCACTTTTATCGGCTCAGAGTGCCCTCGCTCTCTTACTCTCCTCCTCCTACCTCCACACTCTGGCAGCATCCCTTGCTACCATGGAGCTGGGCTCCTGTGATCCATACAGAAATCTTACCTCGCTTACTGGCCTTATTTTTCAAAAGCATCTTCCAAGATTAAGGGCTGCAGGGTGTAGCTCTGTAAAGCAGATTAAGCTCAGCATTATAACTACAACAGGAGTCATTCAAAAACAGGAAACACGGGTACAAAAACTGTAATTTGAGTTTGTTTCTGTCCCTTTCCCTTTATTTCGGCATCCCCCTCTCTGTTCCTGAATACATGTTGTCTGCAGACACACACTGAGCGGTAGACAGGAGCCCCAGGCAGATTGGAAGTCACAGGCTCTTTGTTAGTGCTCAGGCTATAGAAATCCCAAGTGAGTCATCCCAGCTTGCAGTAGCAGGTAGCCCAGCCATTGCCAATCACAGAGCCTTAAACACAGCCCTGCCAAGGAAATTCTCAGAAGCAACACAGGTATTACAAATGCTATCCCTTTGTTATTGCCCATAGCCTTAAAAACCTGTGACAATTAAACCTTATGGCTGTTAAAGTTCAGGAATGGCATTGCTCGACAATATTGCGTTCAGGTGGTGCACTAGGTTTACTGAACAGTGTGCCAGAAACCTCCACATTAAAGCATTTCCATTTCTTTTCCCATTTCTTTTTCTTTTTCTAATTCTTTTTCCTTTTCCTTTCCCTCTCATTTTCATTTTCTCTTTTTTTTTTTTTTATTTTAAAGAAAAAAAAATCCCATAAAATCATATTTACTTTTTTTTTTTTTTTTTCCCCAGGCAAATTTTCTAACAAAAAGCAGGAAACCAACAGGTACTAACAAAAAGCAGGAAAGTTTTCAGAACTTAATCTGCCGAGGACACAGCAATTTTATTGCATAGAGTCCAATCAGTGAGACATGCTAATGTAGGAAGTCTATCATGCTTAAACCTTACAATGACCCAAGAGTGTTTTATTGTCAGTTGAATACAGCAAGAGAGCTAGAGCTCCACTGAACTCCCCTGGAAGAAGAGTGCTCGAGGTCTTAATGGAGAACATCACAAAAAGGCTATGTTCAAGACCAAAAACTCCCTCCCACAAACCCTAGGATGAAACCGATTTCATCTGTACTAAAAGCTTAGCTAAGATAATTTTGCACTCAAGGTATGATGTTCTCTCACCTTTATCTTTTCCTTCCTTGCTTTTCCAGGCAAATTAAAGGGTATCATTAGAGCAAGTCTCTCAGAAGGGTACTGTCACTGTCACCTGTGTTTGCCTGCCTGTGGTGTGCACCCTGGGAAAATCCCACAGCGCTCCCGAGGGAGGATGAGGAGCACAGGGGTGAGCATGAGCACGGCACCAGCCGCACGTGGGGCAGCGCTGTCCTGCACGCCATGTGTCACTCGGTGCTGCTGGGACAAGGTGGCTGCAGGCTAGAGGAAGGCAATGGAAATAGGAAATGGCATCACTATTCAGCAGGACACCAGCTGCTGTTTCAGGTGCCTGTTCCTCTCGCCCCACCAGTTGGGTTGTTACGGTGTGTTAGTCATCCCACCGCCTTCAACACCAATCCTCCGCTCCTCGCACTGCCCTCAGCTACGAGCTGTAGGCTAGGCTTGCCGTGTCCTGTAATTACAATATATAGCTCGTTGCTATCTATTGTGCCTAGAGGTCAGACTCCAGAAACAAATTAATTAATTGCACTTTCTGCACTTCTAGGCCGAGATAAGATTTTTACTTTTTTTTCAGTAAAAGGCTCTGCTTTTTCCATAGCACAAACGGCTTGCCGTAATAAGGAGCCTGTCAACATGATACTCTTCAGCTAGAGGCAAGCAACAGGCATTTTATCTTCGCCGGGCGCCTGATTATCAGTATTATACGGCTATCTTTTGGCAGAGAAGTCCTGGCAGCAAGCAGCCGCCTCAATCAGAAAGCGATTAGCTGTGCACCAGGCGTGCCCCAGCGAGGAGGCAGCCTCCCGGTGCACGCCGCGGGACCTGCACCTCTCCACGAGTCGGGTGCTCCTCGGCTCGGCATGGCGACAAGCCCAGCGGCCGTGCCTGGCAGTGGGGTATGAGCCGAAACTGGGTGGGAGTCGGGTGACAAGTGATCAGCCGGATGGCAAGTGTTGGGGCGGCCTTCAGACTGCTGGAACACAAGAGCCTGGAGAAAACCCGCATTTGGGTGTAGCTGTAAATAAGGATTTCCTCGCTCTGTGGATGACCAGACTCCAAACCTGGCTTCCCCACAGTCTTGCTGCTTGAGGACCGAGTGTGGGACAGGTCTTGGCCCCGCAGGTGCTCTGGCTGCAGGGGGTAGCTTCAGCCAGGCACCAGAGAGAAGGCTGAGGGCGGTGCTCCTTCTCCTAGGGATGATTTGGTCACATTGGCCCTTTCCTTTTCCTGGTTTCCTACAAACACTTTTTTGGAGGTGTGTTTCAATTCCTTTTTTTCTTCCCATTTTTTTCCTCTCATTCCCCTCTCCCTCTGTCTCCTTCCCACCATTCACTTCTCTGTCACTAATTGCCATTCTTCGTTACCCCCTTCATCACGTGCCTGGCTGTCACCCACGAGGACTTTCGCCACGCAGGGCAGCGATTTCTCTGACACCGGGGCTTGTGTGCTCAGGGTGGGGGAGTCCTTCTGCTACTCAAGACTGAAGAGTTCTTGCACTGCAGCAAACTGAGAAGAAACAGCCACTGCTGACGGGCGAGCTGCCGTGCTATTTGTGTCAGCGTGCGGTGTTTGGGTGCCATCAGTCAGGATTATTGGGGGAGTGCAGCACACCTATACAAAACAATGGTTGCTTTCCCGAAGCACTCACTGCTTAAGTGATGACAGCGTTCTTTCATAAACCAAGCGTGCTTAAAATCTCTAGTGAAAGCTGACATATGCTCACAGAGAGCTGGGGAAGTCCCGCTCTACGCGGAATGAAAGTCCCATCACTCCGGGTGAGAACGAAGACGTGTATCACTTTCTCTACTTTTCTCCACTGTTTTGCTGCTGATCGTAAGCTCCCAAACAAAACCAAGCTTGCAGGGAATGTACAGACTGCAGCTTGTTCTCAGCTGATCCTGTTGCAGGGAGCAAGTTCCTGGCTGATTCACGAGCAGTAAAAATAAACACAGTCTGGGGAAGGCAGGGAGGAGGGAGGGAGACTGGAGGGTACTGAGGAAAAAGTAGGAGCTACAGCAGCTGGTGTTTTCTTTGCTGGTTCTTTTCAGAGGATTTAGGCAGGTTGGAGATGTAAGTGATTAATGTCGAATGATAACACCTCGCCCCCCTCCTCCTTCTGGAAGGAACACAAGTCTTTATGCGTATCGCTGTTCTCTCAGCTTTAACCTTTCCAAGATTTACACACTCCATCCACTCCGGTGCAGTGCTGTGGGGCTGACAGCACATCTGGGTGTATTAACTGTACACTCTGTGGTTTCTGCAAATGCCTAGGGTTTGTTCTAAGTGTTTTGAAAGGCTACACTCGAAGCCCCGAGACTTCCCCTTTGGAGTTGACCAGACTGAAGGCAAGGTACTGCCACACGAACTTGAGACAGATGGTTTCTCTAGCTTGTTTTTTCCGTGCCAGCCCGTTGCAGTAAAGGGCATAGCTAGATGCTGCTGAGCTCCAGTAAAACTTGCTTCCACAGCAGCTCCCAGATTGCTCCCAAACAAAGCATGGACAAGTACCAGAAAGCTTTTTCTGTCCCCCTTTGTAGGTATGTCAGCTGCTTGGCCACGTACATCCAGGAGCCCTGCCCTTGGCTCTGCTCAAGGGCAATGGTATCAGAGCGTGCTCCTGTGCTGCGCGGATAAGAAGTCTGCTTTTGTCTTGCCTTTCTTGCGCTGAAAGAAAACACACGGCAGATATAGCTGGGCAAAGGTGGCTATGTAGCTTCTACCATTGATAAAAAAGAGTTTCAACAGAAGTTTTATGTTGTAACTTAAGGAATGAGGTTCCCACCAGGAACAGCATAAGCCAAAAGTTAAGGAGCCTTTTTTAATCATTTATCTTAAGCGGGGCTGATGGAGGCATAAAAAATTATAACGTGCTAATGAAATGTACTGAAGAAACAAAGTTGAGATGTCTCATCAACAGCGAGGATGAGCAGAATATCAGGAAAAAATTTGATGACTTCAGAAATTCACGGTGCAAAAGGTCATACACCTAGATAACAGGAAAGACAGGGACACACCGTTTGGAAGACACAGGGGTGAAGAAAAAACAAGATAGAGTCATGCATTACAGGGAACTGAGCCAGCCACGGAAAAGGTAGAGGCAGTCAAGAGGTGTGTTGGACAAGATGCTGTGGGTAATTAGCATTACCACCATCGTGTAAAGCGGAACCCAAACCTTGTGTGTTTGGAACAACAGATACTGCTCGTCAGCCATATTTACAAAAAGGCAGGCTTAAACAAATGGTCGGGGAAATTAAGAGTCTGTCTTACAACACCATAAAGAAACTGACTTACACAGCAACAAACCAATGAGAACAGGTGAGCAGGGACAGGAGTCTTTAAATATGTCAGAGAGGCAAATGCCAAGGAGAGAAAAACAGCTATTTAAACTACAGCTTAACCTTCACACAAGAACAACGTGGTATAACATAATGACTAGCGGAGTAAGCTCTTAGAAAAACTTTCCACTGGTTTTATTAACGACGAAGTAGAGAACATGCTTAGGATGGCACTTCACAGATTACTGACAGTCTTCTGATGTGGAAGACCCAGTAGGTCCCTTTCCATCCTAAGTCCTTACGTGGGCTTCATAGACACTTACATATGGATGTTTATTCTCTGTGTGATTTAGCTTTTAATGATTAGGACATTGATCAACACACCTTTAGGTACTGGGAAGGAGAACGGAAGCTTTTCATGTCCCTGGTTGAGGTCCAGTCCAGGCTGAGCAGGGCTGAAGGAGAATTTGTGCTTTATCATGTGGCTGATGGTTGGTAGCTTCTTTGGAAAATGAACTGCTGCACAATTCCTAACAGGCAGCCTGCTGTATCATGATATCACCACTGCCAAAAGATAGTTTTGCTGGCAATCTTTCTGGAAAGGCCAAAGATTGACTGGACAGGGAGAGTGAGCGAGCCAGTAGCTTTGTGCGTGTAGAGGGTGGTGGGTGGAAATTGCACCACAGTCAGCTGATTTTACCTGCCCTGTGTACAAAAAAGGGATCCTGGTCCCTAAGACTGCCAGCAAAGCACTTCTTAGTTTAACTTCCCCATTGAAAGTACAGACCAGGACCATACCGGACGGCAATGCCCTATTATTCTCACATGGTGCTTGGCGCATGCGATTGTCTGCCTGTAAGGTACGTGCATGTACATGCACTTAAAATTGTGCTTCTGACATGGCCCTGATTTATGAGGGCATGAATTACGTGTTTGCCTCGCGGATGCCCCTCTGCTGTGCCTCCCTGGAGCAGACCAAGACGCTCTCTTCTCTTGGTGTGCACTGGGGCGGGGAGGAGAGGAGCACTGGTAAAGGCTGAGTCAGTCACGGACAGACTGGAGTTTTCTTCAGTTTTGAGATCCAAGACTGGCTTTTGCCAAGACAAGTGCTGGCACATCCCACAGCAAAAAGGAGGGGGAGCACGGGGGAGGTGAGGGGTGGGAAGGAGAGGGAGACCAAAAGACAACTGATTATCCTTTTTTCTACTGTGCTAGTCCTGTGAGAAAGGAGGAATTTATAACACACATACACGCTTCAGGTTTTTCAAAAGCTGTCTTTAGCTGTATATCATATTTCCAGGGGTCAAATGTTTATGCATTTTGTCTACAACAGTAAAAATGTGTATTTTTAATACAGAGTGACTGATCACGCAAGTGAGCCAAAGCGAAATACATTAAAACAAAGGCCAGACACATCACTTTTTCTGCAAGGTTAGCTGGATGGTGTAAGCTTTGCACCCTGCCTTGACCAGAACTGGTTTATCCATCAGACTGCAATACCTTGACTACGTTGCATCTGTACTTCCAAACAAAACCAAACCACCTCAAACAACAGCTCACGAGGCTTGTTTATGAGGTTTATACTGTTTTTGAGAATTCTTACATCTTTTGATTGTAGACACTTTCCCTGTCTCAATCTGCCCACATCACTGGTGTAACCCACAAAACACCTCAGTTACAAGCAGCACCCCGTGCATCCATACAACACGTGTACAAATCATGCTGTTGCCATATTGGCAAAATGTCTTGAAATGGAGCAAGTCTTTAACACAACTAAAGTTATTGTTACCTAAAAAAAAGCAGTGTAGCCTTACTAAATTGGTTCTGAAGGAGAAATGTAGTCGGATCTTCAGCACTGAGTGAAAGGGAGCAAGGTAAGAGCTGATCACTGCACGCAGAGATCTTTTCTTATTCTGGAAATGAGAACACCCAAGCACTGTTTGGATGCTCACCACTATGAGACCAAACACAGTATATTATCCAAACAGGTTTTTAACCACTTTCTTCTCAGGTGTGACCCTGCCATTCCTACTTAAGGTGAAGAAAAGATCTCTGCTTCAAAACACAAAAATTTCTTATGACTCATCTTTATTTACCAAGTTTTAGGGAATAAGGTGGGATTTCTTCTGCTAAAGCCAGAAGTCTCATTAACAGCCTACAGGGAAAATGAGTAAATATTTCACACAGAGATAACTAACTGCTGCCCTCTGATTCTGCCTTACTCACCTCCTCTGAGGTATACACGGACAATTTTGTTAGTGCTGAGTAATAGGCTCTCTCAAAGTTGTTGGGGAGATGCTTTCCATGGGACAGGGAGTCCCGCAGCCCTTCAGGCTGCTCAGCAGCCCCGTGTGGGCCAAGCAGACCCCACAAGCCGTGGGTACTGCTGGAGCCAGCTCAGCTCTGTCTTCTCTCGACCCCTGAGCTGACTGGCACGAGGCAGCCAGTGCCAGGCTTTTGTTTTCCACGCTCAGCCAGCTCAAGCTCTTCCCACCCAGAACTGCAACCCATGGGGACTTTTTGTAGCTGCCCTTAAAGTAAACTCACGTGGTCCGTCCCAGCTTGGCCTCAAGTATCCTTCTGGGTCATCCGCCGCATGCTGCACAAACAGGCGAACTTGCCAAATGACCAGTTCAGCAAAGAGCACGCTGAGGTGTGGGCTGTTAAATAAGGATGACTTGCAAGAGCTGACAACATGCTTGGCACAGCACAAGGCACTGAGGAAGACAAAACGCAACCTCAGTGTGAAACCGTACCCGGCTCCCGCGTGTGTTTGTACAAGGCCGGCGGCTCGGGAGGACAGTGTCACGCTTTCATCTGTGTTTACACAGGCCTAGCACAACAGCGTCCTAATCCAAACCGGAGCTCCTAAGTATCACAGCAATGCAAATTCAATAACACTAATGACAGGCTTTCCCTCCGTGCTCACCGGGTGAGGCACGGGGAGAGCTGTCCCTGCTGGGAAGGAGCAGGGCCTCGCACCAGGCTGGGACAGCTTCAGGCTGACCCCGGCCCGGCCGTGCCGCCAGGCCTGCCATGGCGCCTCCCGCTGCGGGCGAGGCCTGGGCGCCTGCGCTGCGGGGAGAAGGCGGCCTCATTTGTCTTCTGCTTGCCCCGGCTGAAAGCGCGTGTGCGTGCAATTCCCGGGGTTCAGCTAACGCTGGTATTTTCGTAAGCCACAGCAACTTGGCTGTGTCAGTCGATGGGTCCTTTTTTTAGAAAGCAGATAAAATGGAGTTGGTAGGGAGAAGCGTTCTGCTGACACTTGCTCAAAGTGCTTTCCCTAGGACTTTATAAAGCGGTCAGGGCAACTGTCTGTCACAAGATTTAACGAAAATTTTAGAACTTTTAGCAAAGTATTCCTGACCAAATCTGAAAGAAAACACGTTTCAGTCATTTCCATCTATTCTTTAATCCAACATTATTAGTTGGCTCACGTCCCACAGGCAGCGTACCGTACAGCAGGTAATCCTACAGACATAAAACTTGTAACAAAGTTCACCTCCTGCCACGAAAATATGCTGTACTGAATGAAAGCTAACGATCTGTACGTGAGTGTGGGCTTTACCTCTTCTACTTACAGGAGGCTGTGAAGAATTATTTAAATAATAATAAAGTAATAACAAAATACGCACATCTCTGTCGTTAATCAATAAGGAAATCCCACTGGATATTTGACAAACAGGATTTAACCACTCAGTGAACCTGGTGGACAATGGAAAACTGTCTTCACAAATACCAGCACTGACAGAAAAACATAATTAAGAACGTTATCCCCAAGTAACATAGAAAACAATGTCTAGAACAAATGTGCAGCATTCAGATAATTGCATCCAACAGATGTCTTCAGTTAGCTGTTCATATAAGAGGGATATCATTTGAGAAGAGGAGGCTCCAGACGCTATACAAGATTAGCATTGTACCTTTTAACACTGTAAAGTCTTAAATAGAGAAGTTTAAGAAGGGAAGCGAGATGGTAATTTTAGAAACACCCTTATTAGTAACTGTGCTTTTTGTTGTGTTTGTTTTGGTTTGGTTTTGAAGGTGAATGTTGAGAAAGATGAGCAATACTAGGATAAGATTAAAAGTATGTCCTTTGGTAGGGCATTTAGAGATAAATTCTGCACATAAATGAGCAGGGTTCATAGTCTCTTTCATATTGTAATAGTATCCCCAGTGGGATTTGCCTCCTCGGCTGTTCCCAGTCCCCTCCCCCAGCACCGTGAGATGAGAAATGCAGTGTTTTTAATGACTGGAGCAGGAGGGATCTTGTTATTGTGGCTGCATCACCCCTCCAGGACACAGTTCAGTAGGAGTTTGTCATGTGGCTGAGCAGAAACGATGAATGCAGGTTTTATGAAGTTCATTCCCCAAATACAAAGGAACAAG